TCCCTGCAGTGACATCCCTCCTGCTGTCCCTTGTATCGTGAAGTTGACATCCCAGGTCCTTGTAGCTCAAAACCTTTTTCTTTAAAAAGAAAAAATGACTACTTGAGTTTCAAAATGCAGTTAGAAATCTTAAAGCCAAGATCACCTTGGTGTATATTAGAACTTTAAAACTTCATAACTTTGTCACTACTGACATTTTAGAAGGGATAAATCTTGGTGTGAGCGGGGCCGTCCTGGGAACTGTAGGGTATTTAACACCATCCCTGGCAAGTAGCCTCCCCACCCCTGCAAGCGCAATGCTCAAAAGTGTCTCCTGACGTTGCCACATTTCCTTGTGGGGTCCCTCCCGGCTGATAACTATTAATGTAGATATATGTATATATATGGCTTGTACAAAACAAAGAATCGATACAGTGTTTGATGACATAAGAGCCAGTTCTTTCCTCACCATGCACACACTTCTCCAACAACGGATGTCATCATTATGTAAACCTGTTTCGCCAATTAAGTGGCAATTAGGATAATATTCTATCAGAATGCTCTCCAGGGTCCCCATGCCATGATATTTACTAAAGGAATAGAAAGGAAAGCCCCTTCCCAGTCTGGGCTTATAGAAGTGGGACATGGTAGGAGGTGAGGATGTCTGGTTTAACACCGTGATTAGCTGCCTAAACGCAGAACGGAGTTGACGATGTGGGTGTCATCTTCATTCCTTGTGGCTCTCTGTTCATCTGTCCAAAAGCTTAGGCGGTCGGTTGGTGAATCTGCCAAGCTCACTGCAGTTACTCAACAAATAGTTGTCGAGTGATTTCACGAATTGTGTTCTACCTTTGTCTTTTGGATTGAACATCCAGGTACTTTGGTCTGCCTTGGAACTAAAAATATTCTTGCTCAAATCAGTTGGAGAATATAGGATCTCCTAGAAAGTCTCAAAGTTTCTTATATTCCTCACTCCACCGTCTCAAGTTAAAAAAAAAAAAGTATGTGTGTGTGTGTGAGTGAGAGATGAAGTGAAAGAGAAGAAAAGAGAGAACCCATGCATGTGTAGTACAGATGCAATCAAAGATCTATATGGTCTGGGCAAAGTGGCTCACACCTGTAATCCCAGCACATTGGGAGGCCAAGGCAGGAGGATTGCTTGAGCCCAGAAGTTCCAGACCAGCCTAGACAACATAGCAAAACCTCATCTCTACCAAAAAAAGAAAGAAAGAAAAAGAAACAAAATTAGCTGAGCGTGGTGATGCTCACCTGTAATCCTAGCTACTTGGGAGGCTGAGGCAGGAGGATCATCCGAGCCAGGAGGTCGAGGCTGCCGTGATCATTGTGATCATGCCACTGCCAGCCAGCTTGGGAGGCCAAGTGAGACCCGGACTCAAAAAAGATCTATAGCATCTCAGCCCTAGGGATTCAAAGAGAGGAGAAAAAGGAGATGACAGTCTGTGTCGGGCTGTACGCTGGTGTGTGCAATAGACTGTCCTTTTGGTCCTCACCACACTCCCTTCAGGTGGAATTCGCATCCCCATCGCGTCGAGGCTAAGAAGAAAGTTGCTCGAGTCAGACAGTTGCTATGGGGAAATAGAAACTCCCACCAAGCCCCGAGTTTCAACTGAGTTTCAGCTGAGCCCAATTTACAAGCCTCCCCTGACTCACATGGCCCCTGTGCCCCTGGGCCTCTGTGGCTTCTTGAATGGAGAGCCCTGACCATCGCTGCGTCCCGGGCCATTGCTGAGGCGCCCAGCCGGCCTCACCCTCATCATCCTCGTCACTGCTGAGGCCTTGGCTACCTTCAGCCCCTCTAGATCCAGACGCTCCCTGGGGAGTGGGCTCCGGCTTTCCAGGGGCTGCTCGGAGAGGCGAGCAGGGGCCCTCCACCTCAAGAGAACATGGCTGGCAGCAGTGACTCCGGAAAGGGTGGGTAGAACAACGGCCTGGCAGGGGACGGGGCAGATTCGCCTGCTGGCTCCTGCCAGTCTCCTGTCTCTCCCTGGTTCAAGTTTCCCCTGGAAGGCGTAGAGTCCCCCACTTCATGCCTGGGCTGCCTCGCTTCTCCGAGCAGCCCTGGGAAACCGGAGCCCACTCCCAGGTGTGAATGACAGGACGTTGAGATGGCGCTATTTGGACCCTTGTGACCGCCTGTGTCTGCCCTGACCACCACCTGCTTTTCTGCCCTTGCTTTTAGACCCAAAAAAGCACTTATTGGAATGGCTGCGTTTGCCTCACTGTCATGATCACAGGCCACCTGGCAGGATGGAAAGTGTCCGTCACTCCAAGCTCAAGTCCTAGCTCTTCTGTTTAGGAGCTGTGTGACTTGGAAAAGCCATGAAATCTCTGGGTAGATATTTCCTCACCTGTAAAGCTGAAATAAGACAACCTGCCTCACCTTCCAGGGGCGGATGTGACGTAGTGAAACCACTGTGAAGGACTGTTCAGATGTGCTTCCATTGCACTTTATATAGGAAGGAGGGTCAGGAAAGTCCTTCAAACTTTGGGTCCCCCATTGTCCTCACTAAGTTTTCCCAATAATGAAACACTTCAGTAGAAAACAGAAAGGAATAAATCACTTAAATCTCCTAAAATATCTTCAACATCACAATAATTTTGACTAAAAACTAAAGGGCTGAGACATCCACTTCTGACCAAGATGGAATAAGAGAGAATGAATCTTTCCTCCACAATCAAAAATAACCAGAAAAAGAAATCTATTTTTTTTTTAAATTAAGACATTGGAGATTAAGCAAGGACATGATCCCTGGGAGAAGGGAAATGGATGCCGTGAGTCCTACGATTGCCTCGGACCCTGGAGGTATCTCCAGGATACAGGACCGCGAAAAGGAACCCCCGGCGAGACTGGTGGGCTCCGCGAGCTGAGGAGATGGGGCTGACAGCCCAGGACACCAAAGTGGCTTGGGTGTGCAGAACAGAAGATCAGAGATGGAAGAGGAGCACAGAGAACTCTGGAGATATGTGGGCGGGTTCCCTCCAGTGCTCTGCAGCGTCTTCAGTAGGGTGTGTGTGTGAGGAAGTCACCTGAGGCTGAGGACAGAACCTTCCAGAAAGATGAGAGGGAGCAGGACCTGGTGCCATGCTGAGCTTCAAGCCACGTCTGTGACCTCCAGCCAGACAGGAAAACGTCTTAATGTACAGGGTAGTGGGGAGTGTCTTGCCTCAATGGTGAGGAATAATTAGCCCTAAACTAAACACGGCTCTTGTCCAGCTAACAAATCTTAAAAGAAAGACCTGGAAAATCAAATCATTTCCAAGTAGCTCAACTATATTCTAGAACAAAGCTCAAGGATATTTATAGAAACACAGAAATACCCGGCACCCAACAAGGTCAAATTGCCAATGCCTGACATCCAATACAAAATTACCAGGCACACAAACTTTACCTGTACAATGACAACTGTATACCTAATCCTGAATTGTACTCCAAATCTTTAAAATTAAAAATGTTTTTAAATTGCCGGGCATGCAAAGAAACAGACTATATACTCCCTCATGAGGGGAGAAAATTCAATTGAGACTAACTCAGAACTGACACACATGTTAGAATGAGCAGAAAAGGACATTAAAACAGTTATTATGATCGTATTTAAGATGCATAAAAAGTTAGACCTGGAAAAGCTAACAAAAAGGGACTCAAATCAAACATCTAAAGTTGAAAACTACAATGTCTGAGATGAAAGCTACCCAGAATGGGATTAATGGTGTATCCACACAATAAAATACTACCAAGTGATGAAAAAGAATGATCTATGGATTATAAAACCACTGAAAAATCTCAAAATAATTGTGCTGAGTGAAAGAACCCAGACTTAAAGGTTTGCATACTGTTCTATTCACCTTATGGACAATTCTTGAAAATGTAAAATAATCTGTAGTTACAGAAAGCAGACCAGTGGTTATCCAAGGAGAGTGGAGAAAGGAGAGGAATTCCCCAGGGAAATAAGGAGCCTTCAGGTCTATTAGCTATTTTGACTTTTCTGATGGTTTCACAGGGGTATACAAATGTCAAAAAACGTATAATATATACTTCCAGTATGCACAACTCATAGTCAATGATATCATGGATAATTTGGTCACGCTATTTGCAAAAAGTAAGTGACAAAAATGTATTAAACCACTGAGCAACTTGGAAAATGGAAAATTTACAAATAAAACCACATGTTATTTACAAGTATTTAAAATTGTGTAAATTTTAGAGAATGGTAAAATAAGTATTTAAATCTGTAATTTTTGTTACATCTAATCTACATGTCTGTAGACTACACTACCTCTATGATACAGTATCTATGATATCTAAAATTTGACTTGGGGGTACTTTTTTTTTTAACAACAAATTAGGAAATCTTTCTTCCTATGGTTTAGAACTATATGTTTTCATGGTTTTTTTTTTTAATTAGATAAACTAAGTTGAAAGCCACACAGTAAGTTTCTGTTATTTTTTCCAAAACTTACTTCATAAACTAAGAAGATGTCCCACATATGTACTAACCATAAGCAATTGCAAATTTATTCCCTAACACCGTTCTCTCCTGATACGGGTTAAAAACCCTCTAAGTGTCTGAGTAAAGACTCAACTGCAGCTGGGCTCGGTGGCTCAGCCTGTAATCCCACGCCTTTGGGAGGCTGAGGTGAGTGGACTGCCTGAGCCCGCGGGTTCGAGACCCGCCTGGGCAGGCGAGACCTCATCTCTACAACAAATAAAAAATGAGCCGGGCGTGGTAGCGCGCGCCTGTAATTCCGGCTACTCGGAAGGCTGAGGCGGAAGGATCGCCGGAGCCCAGCAGGCGAGGCTGCAGTGGCGCACTCCAGTCTGGGCGACAGAGTGAGACTCCAACTCAAAAAAAAAAAAAAAGATTCAACTGCTTTAATTCCTGCTGTGTCGCTTCATTAAAGATGCAGTTGTATGATGCATGCTTATTATACAGTGGAATTAGCTAATGAATGCATTCTCATGTACCACACTTGTCTGTCCTGATATCCCCAGTTTGATGCCGACCGCAACGAGGATGAGGTGTTCTATGACATCAGCGTGGCAGTGGACAACAAGTTATTTCCAAACAAAGAGGCCGCAGCAGGTAAGTCGCTCTGTCCTTCGGACAATGGTACACCGTAATCACCTGCCAAATGTTTGGGGCTTTGTGTTCATGGACACAGCTCCCCACACTGCTGTGAGGCTCTGAGGATGACCCTGTCCTCAGAGTCTCATACTTTCTGGTTTAAAAATAAAAGTGCAAAACGAAATAGGAAGAGTTAGAAATTTGTTCCCTATAATTTCTGCTTTCCTTCCTGTCGGTGCACATGTAAATCAGCAGGTAGTCATAATGAAACATAGGACCTGTGTTACTAAAATAGAAAAAAAATCTAACTCAACCCATACTTTGTGCAGCAAAAGTTACAGTTTCTCCCAGCGCCCCCGACACATACAGGTTTCTCCAATTATACCCACAAAAAGTATCCCCTTCGATCTGGTATCCACGCCCATCCCAGCCTGCACCTCAGCTTGGGGTGACCCTGACCCTGCTCTTCCTAAGCACTCTCGCCTCGACCGTTGTCTGGGATGCTGGAGCACAGTGATCCATCCCCCCAGGTGGGCATTCCTCACGGTGCCATCCTGACCCTCCTCTGGTTCTCTCCCCGCTCTCTCTACTTCCCGGTCGCCTCATTGTCCCGCAGGGCTTCAACCATCAATTCTGTGTGGTCGACGCTCCCGTCTGAGTCGTGACCTTTCTTCTGAGCTGTGGTCTCAGGGAGCAAAGACCAAAAGCTCAGCCTGTGAAGAAAAGGGTGAAATACTGACAATTTTTGCTCACTATTTAAAGCCAGCTAAGAGTAGCTTCAAAGAAGGGCAGAATTATAAGGAGGGCAAGGTGGTCGTCTTTCTGGGCTGAATCACAGAGCATGGGTCACGGATGCAACTCACCTGCCTTGTTTTCCAGCAGGATTTACAAAATGTTGACCTATTGCAGAAAAAGATGAAATATTAAAAATTGTGTAAAGTCTGCTGCTGCTTTGAAAAATGTGATGATGCCTGTGCTTTTTAAGTCAATAATTTATGTAGACATGCTTTGCAAATGGCTACCTCTAACAACGATTATCTAACTGCCAGATACCCTGTCACACAGTGGGGGAGCTGGTTGGAGCTGCCCTGTCTTTAGAAGGCCCAGCACTTTGGGGCTGGCTAGTGGCATTTCCCCCACTAGGAGGCCGTGCCCTGCAGACTCCTCTGCGTTGGCTTCTGTGCTCAGAGAAAGCTGCCTGAGGGCAGGCGCTGTGTCCTCATTCTCTTGAAGTCCCCTTGGTAGAATGCCCGGCCTGTCACAGTGGCTTCCAAACATTTGCTGTCTCCTCTCGATACCTCCAAGTTTATAAACATAAGAGTCTGTGCATACAGCCTCAACTCCTGCTCACTCTCTTCCACTCCTGAGAAACCTGGCTTCTGCTCCAGCCTCAGAATAAGCCAGTTCACTCTAGAACAGCCCTTGGTGAGAAACACGGCGTCCTCCAGCCCTTTGCCCTTGGGGACATCTCTTGGGTCACCTACCAGCAACCCGACCGCACTTTTTTATGAAATGGTGAAAAATGAATCACTCCAAATTAAATAGCACAATGTTGGAATCAATTATTTTATTGTAATGATATTTGGCTTATAAAGGAATTTTGGACATCGAGGAACTTATTTATGGCCCCCCAAATCAAAATTTTATTATATCTTCTATTTTTCTAATGTGTGGCAACGTGGGAAACAGTCACTGACACACACTGCAGGTTTTTTTTGATATATGTTGTACAATAGTCGTTGGTTGGACGTCTTCTACCTGGTGTTTTTCTATTTGAGCAGGCAATCCAGTCTCATTTTCTTCCTCCCACGTTAATAATATGTAATTTGTTGTCCAGTCTGTGCACCACTGTGAAAGCACTTCACACATTCTCTTTCTATGTAATACCAGCTGATGTTTTTTTACGTATATCTCAGTATATATTCCATCTTTTTTTTTTTTTTTTTTGAGATGGAGTCTCACTCTGTCACCCAGACTAGAGTGCAGTGGCCGCTCCCGGCCACCGCAGCCTCGACCTGCTGGGCTCCGGCGATCCTTCCGCCTCAGCCTTCCAAGTAGCCGGAATTACAGGCATGCGCTACCACATCTGGCTGATTTTTTGATTTATTGTAAAGATGAGGTCTCGCTGCCCAGGAGGGTCTCGAACCCGCGGGTTCAGGCAATCCACTCACCTCAGCCTCCCAAAGGCGCGGGATTACAGGCTAAGCCATCGAGTCCGGCCATCTTTTTTTTTTAAGTTGGAGTCTCACTCCATCGCCCAGGCTAGAGGGCAGTGGCATGCTCATGGCCACCCCACCATCCCAGTGTCGACCTGCTGGGCTCAGGCAATCCTTCTATCTCAGCCTTCCAAGTAGCTGGAACTACAGGCAGGCGCCACCATGTCTGGCTAATATTTTGATTGATTGTAGAGATGAGGTCTCGCCAAGTTGCGCAGGTAGGTCTCGAACCCATGGGCTCAGGCAATCCACTCACCTCAGCCTCCCAAAGCACGGGATTACAGGCTGAGCCACTGAGCCCAGCTCATCTTTTTATTTACCTTTTCGTGCAATTCGAATGGAAAACTTCAAAGAAACATACTTTTTTGAAAAATGTGCGCTGGCATAAGTTTGTCCTGTATAACCACCAGCCATCTCTTCATGGCCCCCGAGAGGGGACATCTGAGTGGTTCGCCAGATTTCTGATGTCCCCTCAGAGTGCAGAGGGCTGGAAGTCAGTGCTGCCAGCCCTGCAGGAGGTAGCCACCACGCAGCCCCACTGAATGCAGCTCTAATTGACCTGCCTCCCTGATAAAACACAAACAATAACACACACACTCACGCACACACTCACACACCCCTTCAGAGGCTTTCCTGAAGGCTGGACACCTTAACACTGGTGTCCTTAACACTGAAGAAAGCCACAAAGCCTCAGCTTTTCTGCAGTAGCCACCCACTCCCCCCCCACACACACACCAGCTTTCTCCAGCGGCTTGAATGCCTCAGTACCTTCCTGCCTCAGGCCATTTGCACCTGTTCTTCCCGTTGCTTAGCAACCCATCTCCATCTCTGCATTCTCCCAGCTCCCCGGCCCGATCCTACCCTGTGCCTTCGCGTGAGTGTGGTTTCCACAAGGAGGCTTCCTCAGGCCCGGCTCCAGGTTCGATCAGGCCTGTGGGCAGGACCTTGGGACTCATGGGTATGCCAGGTCTTCTCTGGCTCCAGGGCAGAGCATGTATTTGCTTGCCTTCGTGCTTTTCCTTAGCTACTGCCACCGTCCTGACCTCTGCACCTGTCAAGCTCTGTCTGCAGTGCCTCCTCCTCCAGGGAGCCCTCGATGCACACCTGCAGCAGGGCCTCTGGCTATATCGCTCTATCTCTCTGGGCCTCGTGTCTCCTTATCCATAAAGAAAGGGAGGTGGGGCCGGGCTCGGTGGCTCAGCCTGTCATCCCAGCACTTTGGGAGGCCGAGGCGAGTGGATGGCCTGAGCCTGCGGGTTCGAGACCCACCCGGGCAACTTGGCGAGACCTCATCTCTACAATAAACCAAAAAAAATTAGTCGGGCGTTGTAGCGCATGCCCGTAGTTCCAGCTACTTGGAAGGCTGAGCAGAAGGATCGCCGAGCCCAGCAGGGTGAGGCTGCGGTGGCCGGGAGCGTGCCGCTGCACTCCAGTCTGGGCAGCAGGGTGAGAGTCCGACTCAAAAAAAAAAAAGAAAGAAGGAAAGGGAGGTGGTAGCACCTGCCTCGTAGGGTTGTTTTGAGGAGTGAGTGGTTGGTGTGTGGAAAGTGTGTGACTGTCACGTGGAAAAGGCTTCTGTGAGTCCTGTCTTTAAGGCCTCACGGGAGAAGCCACACCTTACCCAACACGACTTTCCCACTCGCCTAGGTCTGCTTCTGTCTCCTCCCACGCTCTCCTCCTCTCCCCCAGCCCCTGCCCTGGAGCAGCTGAAAAATTCCCCTCTTCTCCTTCATCCCCAAACACTCCACCAACACCCAGATCCCTCCAAGAGTTCCCCTTCTCGTCCCATATACTGTCAGGATATTTTTCAGGCCAGGCATGGTGGTTCACACCTGTAATCCCAGCACTTTGGGAGGCCAAGGTGGGAGGATTGCTTGGGCCCCGGAGATCGAGACCAGCCAGGGCAAAAGAGTGAGACCTTGTCTTCACAAAATATTTTTAAAAAAAATAATAGTAACTGCTGTGATGGCATGCCCCTGTAGTCCCAGCTACTCAGGAGGCTGAGGTGGAAGGATCCTGTGAGCCCAGGAAGTCAAGACTGCAGTGAGCCATGATCATGCCACTGCACTCTAGTCTGGGTGACAGAATGAGACTCTAACTAAAATATATATATATGGTTTTTCCAAGTAAACACAGTGCTCTTCCTCAAAGGATTTCTGGTGCACACTGTCACTGACACTTACCATGCCTGTTGGAATCAGAGCTGGACTCTCGGTGCCAGATGCAGACTGGGCACTTACAGGCGATGTTTAATGTTTGTAGAGGGAGTAGAAGAGGGCAAGATATGTAAAGGGACTGGAAAGGTCCTTTTATTCATTTTTGGTTATTCGGCACATGCGTATTGAATGCTTCAGCTACTAAGCTTTGTGGTTAGACCCAGAAGTGAAACTCAGAAACTTGTACAGGGTAGCTCACAGTTTAATGGAAGAGACAAGGGAATACCAATTCAATGTTTCCTTAGAGAGGGCTCTGTAAGCATCAGAGGAGTTTTCTTTACAGATGCCCTTCCCTGCACGAGAAGCCCTGCACTTGCAGGAGGGTCTTGGTACTCAAAATAGGAAGAGGATTTTCCTGAAACTTTAGGGTCAAAATCTACTAAGAGGAAAAAGTCTGCAACATTATCCCAGAAAGCAATAGGGTCAGCCTCTGACCCTCTAAAGCCAACATGTATCATCTTCTCACTCAAAATTAAGGGGACAACCTGAAAATAATATTTCCAAGGACCATTCTGCATCTAAAATGAGTGACACCAAGTACCCCCTCTGGGATTCCATATTTCAGTTCATATCTTTATCTATAGAAAGAATATTTTTAAGTCTGAAAATAAATCAAAAAATTCAAAATAGGGAGACAAGAAGGCCACACTCTACATCATTCATAAATTCCTAATTTTGCTGTCTTTTTGAGCAACACGGTCATTGCAGTTGTCTTGTGTGTTAAATTAGTGATAGGAGGAAAAATCTATACCCACGTCTATATCTACCTTCATGTTTCGTATGCCAAACCTTTGACTATTATTAAAGGTTCTGTTTTCAGCAAGCCAAACAACCAACGCTAAAAGAAAATGAAAACCACTCCATCATTATCTGAGCTGATAATGATATCTTTTGTCTATTGCTTTCTGTGATATATTAATACTGTTGCCAGGAGCAACTGGGTGTCAAGAAATCCCATCCCTTCATGATACAATAAAATTTCTGTGAAAAGCATTTTACTAGGAGAGCCAGTTTCTTCATCCCTATGAGCAGGAGGTTTTCTTTTAGACAAAGATCTTTCCACTCTGCCATTACTGAAAATGGTTTTCTAATTATCTTGTTCCAGCTTCAAATAGTCATGTGTAATATCTGCTAACTGGGTTGTTTAAGAGCCCTTCATGCTGTACTTTTGAAACCACCTAAAGAATAGTCCCTAATTAAATAAAATAAGTAGGACACAGGAGCGAAAAGCAGCTATACGTTTAATAAGATTTCACGTTCGGATCACATCGCGCATTCTCTACAAATCACTCTAAACACAGCTGAAGTCAGGGTACCGTTGGAATCCAAGTAGCTGTCACCACGTCCCCTGGTCAGTGGTAGATAATAACCGTATTGTGGAAGTAATGAAAGCCGAATAGAATGTGCATTCTTCCTGACATTGCTGTCAGTAGCAGCCGCCCAGAAAGGGGCACTGCTTGTCACCAGCTTGTGGAATTCCACTGCGAATCCTTGCACCCTCAGCCACCGGCGACCTGCCTAACCATCCACCATTCAAGGTTCCCCATTTTCTCAGAATGTGAAACAGACAGCGCCCGCCTCCAGGTCCTCACCTGTAGAGAACTGTGGGTGAAAGATAAGACGTGCAAACCCCTCCGGGTTGCTTCTGCTCCAAATCTGGAGCCAGCAGGGTGTGTTAGAAGGAACTGTAGGCGCTACTGATCTGTCTTTGATCTCAGGCTCCTTCAGCGTGACCTTGGCCAAGTTGCTTAACTTCTCTGCATCTCATTTTCCTCCTTTCCAAAATGAGGGGGTGGGATTCTGTGAAATGCTGGTTCTAAAACGTCTATGATCTTATCGTGGAAAAACAGACATTTTTCTTCTGACACTTTCACTGCCTTACAACACAAGTGCAAACCTAACCTTCACGCTGGGCTTTAAGACCGTCGAGTATTTGGGCCCTGAAATATGCCTTGCAAAAATTTCTATTTGAAAATTACAAAAGTACAAAGGTAGAAAAATTGTATATAATCCCACTTAATTATATATAATTTTTATTATATATAATTGTCAGGGGTTGCTCTGACCATGTGCCTGACATCACCTGGAGTTGTTCTGAACACACTCAGGCAGCTGTTACGTGGAGACGCTACAATTACTTTTCCAAAATGATCTGATGGTTCACATGTCTCTATTTTGAAAACCTTCATCATCTTAAAAAAAAGTAAAGAGACAAACACAATAAACAATGACTAACTGCTTAGTGCTTCATCAAATTGGCAATAACTAACACTTTATACTTCTGGTAGACAGCAAGGGTGACCATACTAAGAGAAGAGGCTGGGTGTGGTGACTCACACCTGTAATCCCAGGTGTGAATTACTTTGAAAGGCTGGGCCGGGAGGATTGCTTGAGCCCAGAAGTTCAAGACCAGACTGGGCAACGTAGGGAAACCTCATCTCTATAAAAAAATAAAAAATAAAAAAATTAGCCGGGCATGGTGGTGCACACCTGTAGGATCACCTCAGCCCAGGAAGTCAGGGCTGCCGTGAGCTGTGATTGTCACGATCCTGCCACTGCAGTCCAGCCTGTAAGACCTCAACTCAATAATAATAATAATAACAACAACAACAAGGAAAAAAGAAGAGAAGACCAGAGATGACAAAGGACTGGGTGCGGACATACTTGACTCGTTTTCGAAGAAAGTACAAAAGCAGCTTCTAGGGGACGGTTCTGTATCTGAGAAGTGTATGAGATACTTGATCTTTTATTAATCCATCTTCATTGATCATTACTCATTGCATATACTGACCAAGAATTATCTGCCAAGGCCAAATTTACAATGAAACATGAGATGGTTTGTTTTTTCACAGGCTGTGTAATATTTTATGGGCAGCACTGAATTCTGTCTTTCTGGCTAGTTAGGTGATGTAACTTCCCAGCAGGAAAGACGTACTAAATGAGAACAATGAAGCCCTATGGTGAAAATGACCAGTTTAAGTCTGAGCCTTGGAGATTAGTGAGTAAGCAGTTTAATAAAGCCTGCAGCACCTGGGGAAACAATGTATGAATACATTAAGTTAACCCAATTTTTCTCACCTTCAAGGTGACCCAACGACTTGAGTAGAAACAGGTTTACATGGAGTGAGCAAACACAATCCTTCCTATTTCTGGAAACCCTTACTTTCCTCCCACACTGTACTTTGCTCATGGTGTTTCTTCCACCTCAGTTACTCCTGGACAACCCATACTCACCCTCAAAGTTCAGGCTCATCCATTCGTTCAGGTATGTCCAACCTGCGCCCACAAGCTGCATGCAGCTCAGGGCAGCTAGTCATGTGGTCCCACAAAATCTTTTAACATCAGGTATTTTTCAGCATTTATTTTCTTCGTGACCCCATGGGGAACTCCATTTTTGACGTTCACAATCGCGCCTTATTCATGGCATCGCTTTTTGGCAGCACATACATTTGTGAGCAGCTGTTTTCAGTTATGAAGCAGACAAAGAGCAAAATCCAAACAAACATTTCTGAAAGCACCTTGAGAACTCATTAAGAATGGCGACCATGGCCGGGCTCGGTGACTCAGCTTGTAATCCCAGCACTTTGGGAGGTCAAGAAGAGTGGATTTTCTGAGCCCGTGGGTTTGAGACCAGCCCGGGAAACTTGGCAAGACCTCGTCTCTACAATAAATAAAAAATTAGCCGAGTGTGGTTGCTAGCACACACCTGTAGTTCCGGCTCCTTGAAAGGCTGAGGCAGAAGGGCCTCCGGAGCCCCGCAGGTCGATGCTAGAGTGGCCGTGAGTGTGCCACTGCACTCCAGTCTGGGCAACAGAGTGAGACTCCAACTAAAAAAAAAAAAAAAAAGAATTGTGACCACTTCCATCAAACCATACATTGATAGATTCGTTTTACAAAAACAAAGTCAAATGTTCCACTGGTTTTACATCGTATTGTCCTCATTTTTCTAAACATTTTAATCTAAAAATAAGTCTTTTTATGTCTATGCACTAACTATATTATGTAATTTATGTGTGGCCCAAGACAATTCCTCTTTACTTGATGCAGCCCAGGGAAGCCAAAAAGTTGGACATCCCTGGCTTGGTACTTTGTGAAGAATCCCAGTTCCACTTATCACCTCCACCGCTAGTGAGAATTAGCAGGCTCACTCTTTTTTGGTTTTTGAACATTGCTGTTGGCCAATTAGTCTCCCCCACAATACTATTTTCTTCTTAAGGACAGTGACAGTGTCCTCGATCTCCAGTGAAAACATTGTGTCTGGCAGATGAGAAGAATCCAGAAATATTTGTGAATTTGATGAAACCACAGAACAATAAGGAAACCTAGTGAGAGACTGTACACTTTGGAAACACACACAGAAAACCTCCATCAGTTTAACTTGTCTTTCTTAATCTTAGGTTCAAGTGACCTTGACCCTTCAATAATGGTGGATACTGGAGAGACCTTCGATACAGGATCTGATTATGAAGACCAGGTATTTAAAATCTAAAAATGGTTCTCTATTTAAATGTTTTTCATTTTAACCTTTGTAAATCTTTTATGAGAATTAGACTCTGTGAAATCTACACAGATAACTAATAACATATGACATGATAAATCACAGTAGTCTACAGCTTTCGTTCACTAAATTTGGCTCTTTGACCCTCCCTTATCCGCTGACCCAGAACAGCAGTTAATTGAGGAAAGGTTTGTGGTTGAAAGTTACATGAGATAGAAAAGAGGTTCTCTTGCACATTCATGGCTCTTGCAGCAACTTGGATGCCGTTGGTGGCCATCACACTAAATGAACTATCACAGGAATCAGACAATGGAACGCCGCATGTTCACACTCCTAAGTGGACTCTGAACACTAGTCACATTAGCTCAAGGGTGGGATCAGCAGTTGCTGGGCACTGCGAGGGGAAGGAAGGAGGGAGAAGGAAGGAGATGGGGGAGGGAGGGAGGAAGGACAGCGGGGGCTGCGTGACAGCAACACAAGGGGTACCTAGTCCACTACTAGTGGAGTGAAGGCCGCCTAGAAGTCAAAACTTCACCTGCATACAGCCTACCTATGCAGCAAATCCTCACTTGTACCCCACCACTCTATAATAAATAAATTATTTTTTAAAAAAAATAAAGGAAGAGAGGTTAGGTTCTCTTGCCCAAGAGTTTGCCTGTGTCTTAATCCCTTCCCACTCATAAACTATTATAATAATATTTCCTGAGCATCAGCTACAAATTCCACTGTTCTACTACAGACCCTTGGAAGGGAATGAGAACACAGCCAAGAAGTTAAGTACATTTTCTCTTTGAATAAAACTGAAGAAATTTATCTGGGTCGTTTTACTCTCAGCAGAAGAACTCTCCCTGCTGCTGTATTTTAATGATCCCAAATAATTGGCGAATGATCCAACTCCCTAATTAGGCTTTTTTCTTTAAGTTAATGTCTAAAACTTTCCACCCCCTCCCATCTGTGCTCGTCAGCAATGGCTGAGAGCCAAGTGAGATGTTCTCGTGGGAGGTTTTGTTCCCATCTTCAACTAATGTTCATCACACAGAAAGCAGACAGATCTGACAGCGTCCACGTGTAATGACTGGCTGTACACTTAATGTACGTACTTGAAACTATTTTTCAAGCATTAAGTTTCTTCCTTTCAGCACAAGGCAAACAGTTGATATCGACGAGCACTATAATAGCTACCACATATTTATAGTAATTTTTGACATTGATTAGGCACTCATGACATGCAAAACATTGTGCTAAGTTCCTTATGTCAACTGTTTCACTAATTCTTCACAAAATCTCTAGGAAGTAGGTATTATTATTTCTATTTCACAGACAAGAAAATAAGGACTTAAAGAATAATTTGCCCAAGGCTGCACAAGTAGTTACCGAACAGGGACGTGAACTTAGGGCAGCAGTCCCCAGCCTTTTTTGGCATCAGGGACCAGTTTCATGGAAAACAATTTTTCCACGGATCAGGTGTGAGAGCAGACAGTTTCAGAATGATTCAAGCGTATTACATACTGTGCACTTTATTGCTATTACATTGTAATGTATAATGAAATAATGATACAACTCACCATAATGCAGAATCAGTGGTCACCCTGAGCTTGTTTTCCTGCAGCTAGATGGACCCATCTGGGGGTGATGGGAGACGGAGCAAGCCTCACCACCTCAGCTCCAACTCAGAGCATCGGGCATTGGATTCTCATAAGGAGAGTGCCAACCTAGATTCCTCGCATGCACAGTTCGCAACAGGGTTTGCACTCCTATGAGAGTCTAATGCCGCCACTGATCTGACAGAAGGCAGAGCTCAGACAGTCATGTGAGAGATAGGGAGTGGCCATAAATATAGATGAAGCTTCACTTGTGCTCATGGCTCACCTATCACTCACCTCCTGCTGTGCAGCCCAGTTCCTCATAGGCCAAGGATGGGGGTTTGGGGACCCTTGACTTAGGGCGCATTTCCTAGCACCCACAACATACTGCCTCCCGTCCTGACCCTCATAGACAGATCAATCAGTGATACATTTTGGGAGCCTTCTCAGTTGCCGACCCGTTGACCCAGCAGAGGGCAAATGTCAAACACCCACTGACAATACAGAAATACAGACTGCACAAAGAAATGAGCCATAATAAGGAAGGCAGCTAGTTAAAGAACCGCAAAGAACAGAAAAATCTGGAGGGAGAAAACCAGAATATAGGAATACTTGAAATATTCAAAGAGAAGATTAGAAGCCATGAAACAAGTACGCGAATGAATGGGAAAGAAGAAACAGAAAAGGAAGAAACAGACATTCTAGGCACACACACAAAAATCGTCATTGAAATAAAAATCTATTCACAGGTTGAATAGTAGACTGGACACAGTTTTTTTTTTTAAAAAGGCTTCATGATAAAGCAAAGGAATTTGCCTCAAGATAAAGCAGAGAGATGAAGAGTTGAGAAATATGATAAAGAATTTAGGAGGCATTGAGTACAGAATGACTGAGTCAATGTGTTCTGAAAGGAATTCCAGGAGAGAATGGCGCAGAGGCTGTCTTTAACAGGCAGTAGCTGAGAATTTTACAAAGGTGAAAGAAGACAAGTTGGAGTCCCCAGGTGGAAGGAGCACATCCAATCCTCAGCAAGATTAAAAAGAAAACTCCTCACCTGCTCTTTTAAATGTAGTCATTCAACAAATATTAATTGAGCACCAACTGTGTGCCCATTTCTGTTTAAGCACTTGAAATATATACTCTTATAAAACAAGCAAGGGCTGTGACTACCAGGAGCTTACATCCTAGTAGGGAAGACAGAGCGTAAACAATGAATATAATAAATTAGTAACTTCTCTAATTGTGGAGATGATGAGCTCTATGAGGAAAGAAAAAGTAGAACAGGACAAGTGGGCTACGAATGCTGGGGGAATGAACAGCTTACAGCGTTAAACAAGTTGGTCACTATTAAATGGATACCCTCACTAAAGAGGTGAGGTTTAAGCACCAATTTAACATATAATGTAAAACATCGGAAGATAGAAGACAAAGATAAAATAGTAGAAGTGAAAAGACACTGCCTCTAAAAAATAAATAAATGACAATTTTGGTTGCAGTCAATTAAATGAAGCAAAAATTTCGATTTATTGAGTGCATCCGGTATATCAGGCACTGTGTAGTGGTGAACAGGCATCATTTCTGCTCCTTACAATAACTCAAGAAGGTTGCTCGTGTCTCTCATTTACATCCAAGGAAATTGAGGTTCACAGCACTTAAGTGACTTCCTAGACCACACAACCAGCAAGTTGTAGCATCAGGAATCAAACTTTGATCTACCTGGCACCAACATCTGCTTTCTACTTTCACCGCTCCAGTAAAGCCATTATCAAGGCCCCTGGCAATCTGTTGCCAATTCCAGTTAGCCACTTTTTAGTTATCTTTCTTGACCTTTGCTGCATTTGACACAGTGAACGGGGATCCTCAAACTTCTTCTATAAAGCTAGTAAGTATTTTAGGCTTTGTGGGCCCTACGGCCTCTGTTGCAAATACTCAAACTTTGACGTTGTCATGCCACGTCAGTTGTAACAGTATGTTAGCAGATAAGCATGGCTGTGCTCCAGTAAAACTTTATTTATGGACACTGACATTTTAATTTCATAAAATTTTCATGTGACTTATTTCAACCATTTAAAAATCCAAACTTTGCTCTTAGCTGAGAGACCATACAAAAGTAAGCAGCAGAATAGGCTTGACCTACAGGACATATAGTTTGCCAACCCCTGTCACGAACCATTCTCCATGTTTGACAGTCTCCTCATTAGCTTCCAATGTTCTAGAGTCTTTTTTTTTTCTGAGTCAGAGTCTCACTCTGTCCCCCAGACTGGAGTGCAGTGGCATACTCACGGCCACTGCAGCCTCAACCTACTGGGCTCAGGCGACCCTTCTGCCTCAGCCTTCCAAGTGTCTGGAACTACAGGCTTGTGCTACCATGCCCAGCTATTTTTTAAAATTTATTGTAGAGACGAAGTCTTGCCAAATTGCCCAGGCTGGTCTCGAACCTCTGAGCTCAGGCAATCCTCTCACTTCCACCTCCCAAAGTGCTGAGATCACAGGCTTGAGCCACCCCTTCTAGAGTCTTTAGCACTGTTCTGCATGCTTCACATTCACCACCACATTTTATCCTCAGACAACTGTATGAGAGAGACATTATTATTAGCCCAGTGTGGCCGATGAGGAAACTGAGGTACAGAGAAATTAAGCCGTTTGTTCAAGGTCACACAGCTGGCAAGTGGTAAAGCCAGGATTCACGAGGATTCAAACCTAGCCATGTGACCCCAGAGCCACGGTCAGGAAAGATAGGCCAGGCTGTGTTGGTATGATAAGTTAAAATCTGGGTCCTCTCACATGCAATCTCCAAGGGTACTATGGGTGGGAGGGAAAAGAACTTGAGGAAGAGGCACCTGGTCTGAAATGCACACGTCCTTGGCCCACATTCACTATCAGCCCTTGTCCCTGGCTTTGGCTAGATGTGGGGAGGCTGGAGACTGAGCTTCCTTATGTGCCCAGGAAGGGAGGGGTGGGCTTGGTGAGCCCCAAGCTGGTCCCAGCCTCAAAACTCCTTCTCTTAGCCACAGGCTGTAGCACCTGCCTCCATGTGTTCACCCTCTTCTGCTTCTAGGTTCACTCACTCTTGGATTCCTTGCTGAACTCCACTCTTCCAAGCCATTATTTCAACGTGGGTACACCCAGCATCCTGGCTATGACCCTTCTTTCTTCACTGTATGCATTCTCCTAGGAGAAGCTTGGTCCCAGCCATGGTTCTGGCTTCACTTAGAGCTTTCTGGTGAGCTCCTGTTGCATATGTCTGACTACTGCGTAACACCAGTTGGATTCCCCACGTGCATCTCAAATCCAACCTGTCCAAAACCAAACTCACCACTGTCCCCCACAAAAGCTGTTCTTCCTTCTGTTCTTCCTACTTCTGTGAATGACACCACCATTCCTCCAGCTGTC